CCTATCAGGAAAAATCCTTCAACATTCTGTGCTAAAGTGGGAGAAGGGAGAAAGAATTGTATTGGTGCATTATATGAAGGACAAAGTACATGACCAACTCAAGGTCACAAGACCAGCATGGACTACCCAAAAGGACATTCTTGGATTGGCTGTCAGGTACACTTAAAATACATTTTAGTGACAATGTTTGGGTGCAAATATTTTAAATGCATCTGATAACCTTGTTCCAGACTTGTGTGGTGTTGTTTTGGGGATGAAAATTTTTCAATACAGCTGAAAACCTTGCTTTTGACTCTTCCTGTGCTCAATCATGCTTGTACTGGTAGAGATCCACCTGCAGCAATCACAGGGCAATCAATGCTGCTAATATTAACAAGTCCAATCTCTGGTCCACTGGGATTGGTGCCACAGCCTGTGCTTGGCATGGTTGCTTTGTTCCCCATTCTGTGGTGGATTTTCAGAAAGGAGAAAAGTCAGTGGACCTGATGGATGTACTGGAAGCCTTTGGAACTCATTTTGTGCCAGGTACATGAACATGGATTACTCCATCTACAGTGCTCTTGATTATCATTCAGAAAGCATCACAAAGGCCCTTGTCATTTATGATGTTGGGTGCCAGTGGAATATTAACTTCCAGAGTTGGGTAAAATCCAGCTGCTCTCTCCATCTCCCTCCCTCCCTGGAAATCATTCCTGCTGTGGGGAAGTTTCATCTTGCTGCCCACAAACTCTCTTGCTTTCCAAGATATAGCCTCAACTGTATCAAGGGTGCTGGTCATCTGGATGGTGAAATTTTGGAGACATTGTGGGCTCCATTCAATAAGATCTCTCCCACTGCAAGGTCTATGACTCAGGCCCACAGACAAGAAGTGCACAATGACCATATGAGAGATTCTAACTGGAAAAAAATTTTCAACATGGGTGAGAGACCTTTTCTTCAAAGAGAAGTTAATTTACTGTGTACATCTCAGTTCCTGCACTGTTGAAAAAATACAAGACCTCACACAAGTGCCTAGAAGAAATGAATCAGGCATATGAGCAGTTGACAGCTGTTCTAGACCCTGCCCAACTTGCCCAATGGGAGTTGGATGTTCTTGAGGCAGAAGCAAATCAAGGTGATTCCCTATACATTTATTTGTTGAAAGGGGAAAAAGGTCAGTATGTTCCTAAGAAACCCTGGGCATGTCTGATGGCCTGTAGCCCCTACCATAGTTGAAGTGCAGTTAAAGCTCATGAAAAATCCACCTGTGTCCCCAGGGAGCCATGGTTCTGTGGCTTGGCTTGTGGAAGGAATTAGCATAGAGGATGCACAGTATGGTCTGTGGTTTCCAGAAGCAATAGGTTGCTAACCAGACCTGCAGGGACCAGCTAAGATCTGAGCTTAGACAGAGCCACATGTCTACCAGACAAGAAGTCAAAGTCTCAGAGAAAAGAAAAAGACTTTCTGCCAGGATTGACAAATTCCATGGCACCAGCCAGGCATTTCTCAAAGGTTTGGAGGTGGATGGTGTCTTTATACCCCAGGATGATCCAGCATTCCTTGGGCAAGGTGAAGAAATTGATGACAATTGAGAGTACTGGGAAGATGATGAGGATTTGGAGGCTACAGAAGAAGGAGAGGAGCCACCTGCTGAGCTCATGAGTATATGGATGCCCTCATCCATTGGAGCAACCAAACTGATGGAGCTTGGCCTTCATGACCTCCTCAAAGAAGAAATGGAACTCAGGATTGGGCAAGCTAATGATTGTCTAGACCAGCTCCAAACCAACCTTGGACACAAGGCAATGTTATACAGGCAGAACTTCCACAGTGCACAATCAACTAGGGAAGGTACAAGAACCAAGCAGGACATCCAAAAAGTGGTGGCTCAGATAAACAAGCAGGGCAGAAGTTATCAAAGGGCAAGGCAAGCCATTCTCCAGTTGGAACCCAATCAAGAGATTGGACAAAAATATCAGGCTATTCAGCCCCAGGACCTGGCAGTGAGTAAGGATGTTACAGAGGAGAACCAGTTTGGGCAGGGAACCAGCAAAATGGCATGGTTTTGGATGATGGATGGTGAACAGGGTCAACTGAATGCTGAGAAGGGGGGTTTAATGGAGGAGTGTAAGTGTTAATACTACTCAAAAAAATCTCATCAATAAATTGTGGGGCAGTTTACAGGATCAATTGGCTCAAAGCAAGGGCAAGAAGGGACAGGTGGAAAAAAGAATTGTCATTGGTGAGGCATGAGATGGTTTGGGCCATCTTATGGTTTGAGTTCCAACAGGACATATGGGAGAAAAAGGCTCTACAATTGTTGGAACCAGGGAAAAAGGCTTATGCTCATAAGCAGATAGTGTTGTGGACTGACTTTTCCAAAAAGGCCCAATTGATGTTCCAAGGTAAACAAATGGATTGTATTTAGAACATGGGTATATGTGTATAGTTTTCCAATTACCCTTGCTTTGCACTTGGTATCTGAATCAAAGTGAATAGCAAATACATCAAAACAATCATACCATAATGGTACCTTTCCTAAAAGAGTGATGGCCAAAAACTTCAACATCCTGCCTAAATTGGGAAAGGCTGAAAAATTTTCACCTTGCTTCCAACCTCCATCATCTGTGCTGCTAATTATCCCCCTGATTTTATTCCCTCATGGCTGATTGGTCTGAAGTCTATTCTGACCTGCTGTCCTCCTATGTGGAGCAGTACACAGATGCCCAAGGGAATCCTGACCTCAGGGCCCAGATCCTGGTTGATGTGAAATCCCAGATCCTTCAGCAAGCATCTTCAGGATCTGTGGAATTGCCCCAGAACTTGAGAGTGGTATGGTATCTTTTTCATCAAGTTTCACATATCTCAAGTGTATTTAGGCCATCAGAAGGGTGTTTTTGCCAGAACTAGACCCTGAAGACCAGGATGATGAGGAACACATCATTGAGAGCATCCTGGCTGCAACAGACAAGAGGAAGGAGCAGCCTGGGACTGGTGAGGATGAGGATGCCAGAGAGGAGAGGACCAGACCTACCAAGGCTGGAAACTACAGAAAACCCTTCACTGATTTTACTGCCTCCCAGCAGCTCTTCAAAGAGGACATGGATGCCTATGATAGGGAGAGGAGGGACACCAAGGACCCCAAGACCATAGGTCAGAGTACCAAAATCATCCAACAGTGGTGGGAGTCTCTTGCAGATGACAAGAAGGCTGAAGCAGGGAGGGCTGCTTCCAAGTGGAATAAGTTGGGAGCTCCAAAAGAAACTCATGAATTGTCAGTGCTGGTCTACTTCAAATGTCTTATACTAATCATGCAATAATTCAGGTACAGGAGAAACAAAATTCCCACCATGGCCAGAGAGTTTATTGAAACAGTCCAATGGACCATGAGGTCAAATATAGTGATGTTGACAGGGTCACAACACATGGATGGGCCCATCTAGTAAGATGCACCCCTGCTGCAACATAAAGATGGGCCCATCAGTAATATCATTTATAGTGTCACAACATATGGAAGGGCCCATCAGCAGTATCATTTATATGGTCATAACATATGGATGGGCCCTTCAGTAATATCTTTTATATTGCCATAAAACAAGGACAGGTCCATCTAGTAAGATCCACCCCTGTCACAACATAAGACAGGCCCAACACCAATAGCACTTATAGCATCACATCATATTGATTGGATCACAGTAAAATATTGATGCAAGCTTCCTGACATGCTGTAATTTTCCAACAAGCTGCAAGTGGCTTGCCCACTATACAACTCTGACCTCATCCACCCCAGGCATGAACACTATACAAGACACCTCTAACACCCCCCACAGATGGTGAATGGAACTAACAGACTGCATTGCATCATACATGAAAGCCAGATTTCAAGAGGAGGTATTCAGTGGACCTTGCACCCTTCCAGATATATCAATTCCATTTCCAGTGTTATGTGAAGCAGATTGCATATCATCAGTAATCTCACAGGCCTATCATCACCCAAGTAAGTCCATCATGATGGTGCAATGGAAGTTTTCATCTTTCTGCAGTCAACATTGGTAAAAATTGGGGTGGAAAAACCTGCAGTGCAGAAGCTGCTGAGAGATACACAGAAGTGACTGAGCCATCCATTCTGGTGACCAACTCAAACACCATCCACATATGGTATTTGCTGGATGCTCTCAGCCCAAAAAGAAGGGTAAGGAAATGCAGAATCTTGTATTCTACTGACTTAATGGAATGGTAAGCTGACATATGGAGCCACCTTCATCTTCTGAGGGAACCACTGTGGGAGAGTATAAAGGCTCCCCCACAGGCATGGTGGACTGACAAGTAATATTTCTGCAATAATGCCAAGTTGAAAGGTGCCATCATCCTGTCACCCACATGGTTTCAACAGGGTCATGGGGTGGGTGATCATTTCCTGCCTTGTGAATAAAATGCTCATCCATCTTGAAGCCCAAAAATGGCTTCCTGGAGGCCTCACAGCTGCTCAAATCCAGGATGGAAGACACTTCTACAAGGGAATGGGTTGACCAAATGTCCAACACCAATGCCCTGTTATCTGTGATCCTGCATGTCATCCATCCATGAATGTATGCAGATGGCAGGGAAGTGTTGATCCACTTTGGCAAACAGGTGGAACAGCAGGTGGATTTGGATATGAGCTCCATACTGCTGATATGGAGCTCCACATATAGCAGCATGTCCATGATGGTGAATTGGGCAACTTGTTACCACAGGGATATCAATGGACAGGATCCATGGTATGACATGCTGGTAACTGTGGGCAACTACCCACCCTTGGACTTTGTCATTCCAACATTGAATCTGTGGCTGCACTACAACCCAGGGACAATCATTGCATTTTCAGGTTCAGCATTGGAGCATGGGGTGGGGGCTGTAGATGGTGACAGAGCATGCCTGGCATACTACATGCATGCCAATGTACATCAGTCAGTGCATGTTCCCATGTGTCAATCACTGCAGATGGATGACCTACTACCTAGACCAGTTGCAACTGGAGAACTGTTGATCTGAAGCTGCAAAATTTAATGTAAGATTTAGTAGGCAATGTGAATCTTGTATTTTATTAGGATATGCTGGCTCTTGAACTTTGGACAGGTGGTGTTGCCAAGATTTTGCAAATGGGTGGGTGCTTAGACATCATAGATTGGGCAGGTACTCAGAGCTAAAGGGTGTGCATCATAAACTGCAGCAAAAGTAAAACTACTCAGGCCATCATGCAGATGGGCAGGTTGTCAGACATCATGCAGATGGGCAGGGGTTCAGACATCATGTGAATGGGTGGATCTCATAAATTATCAACATTTGCATCAGACATCTTATGGATGGGCAGGTGCTTAGACATCATAGATGGATGGATACTCAGCACTAAAGGGTGTGTATCAGAAACCAAAACAAAACAAAAACCATGCATACCATCATGCAGATGGGTGGGGTTCAGACATCATGCATATGGGCAGGATCTCATAAATGATCAACATTCACAGCAATGTATATACAACCCAACTCCACAGTCAAAAACATGTAAACTATTGAAGCAGCATGCCCAACAACCCATGCAATGCCCACCACCTAGCATAGAATTGGTCAATTTTTCAACCCTGACCATTGACAACATTGGCATATTTCCAAATATTTTTGATGCAGTAGTTTACCTGCTCCTTGATATGGCCATTGAGACAGTCTGCAATTGGCACCTCAGGCAATGGCCATAAGCCCTGGGCCATCATCAACTATTTGCAGCAATGAGAATAAGTGGCATACCTTAAAAAAATCCCAGGCCACAGAAAACAATCCCTTGCCTTGCAATCTTTGGGAATCTGCTGTGTATTCCTTGGCACAATATAGCCACCAAGGGAATGCAAAGCCAGAATTGGGATCAGCTGCATGTGGGGTCCAATGTGGGACAATGGCACTGATATTGTCAATTATGCAAAATGTGCTAAGGAGAATTAGCTGCATTTGATCACAGAAGCTAACCTCATCATCTTGGTGTCTGAGGTACACATGGTAGCATGCTGGGAGGGGAGGAGTATAACTGGCATGCAACAATGTCACCAGAATCAAGCTATTAAGCTGATTCTGAAGGAATTAAGTATCAGTCCCACACTGAAAAATTGATGCAAAACCTACCAAGTCCATTGCTAGGTTTGCAAACCAATTTGTGGGCCATCCCATGATATTGGCAGTCTGCTTCAGATGTACAGAGGCCACCTCAATCTGGCATGCCAAGTAGAGGATACCCATCTCTACCACAGACTGGTGAGATGGGTGTGATTGGTTGGTGATGAATGGCTCAGGACAATTTTCAAAGGCAGAATGTGGATATTGAATGACTTCCATCAAATCAAGCATATTGATGAGTTGAAGGCCCTGAGAGGCAGCACCATACTGGTCCCTTGCAGCTATGCCCAATTCTCTTGCAATGGCATTTGCAGCCCACACAAGGTGCCTATTGAGGGTGGGATCAAATGGTGTGTTGCTGGGAGCAGCATTTCCATGGTAGCAAGATACCATGGCATGTAAGGCACACAGGACTAAAATTATTAATGTCAATGCTGTATCAGAGTAAGCTCATGCCCATACCTTGATCACAACATGGAACAGGTGCCAATCCCCACTGTTCCATTTGAAGAGATTTCTGGTCAGATGGAAGTTCACCTACATAGTTGATGGATATCACCAATCATGTGAATGGAACACATGAAATAAATACTCACCATTGCATATTTCTTTGAAAAGATCCCTCATCTCTGATTGTTTGGGCATGCCAAAAGTCAAAGGATTTGCCCTGTTGTCTTCATCCACTGCCAAGTCAAAAGATTCAACAGGTACATTTAGAATGAGCAGGGGAGGTGTTGGTTCCCTCGTATCCTGCAATTGAACAAGCAGGTTAGTTGGAGAATCAGGTTGAGGAGATCAGTCCCTTGGATTTGATGATTTGCAGGTGATGGGGAGAGGAGATGGTTCCCATGCATTGTGCAAGTCTGCCAGAAAATTGACCTGCATAGTAATGTCTTGTGCAGGTGTTGAAGACCTGTCCATCCTATTTAATTTCTCATCTGTGACTGGTGGTGCTGATGGTTCCCATGCATTCAGCAATTGTGCAAGTAGATCCACATTCATGCCATCCACTGGGGGAGCAGTTGGTTCCTGTTCATTCAGGAACCAATTCATCAAGTTGTCATGTTGATCTATTAATAGACAATTTGTTTGTTTGTTGGCTTGAAGGGCAATCATGCCAACTCACCACCCATGATTCTGTCCTCTGCCAGAGCAGTTGGCTCCAGCAGGAACTGATCCAGCAAGCTTTCACATGAATCTATAGTGAAAAGATGTTTGTGGTTGAGCTTGGAGAGAAATCATGCCCACTTACCAGCTGCAATATCCATGTTTGACCCTGTCATATCTGCCTTTCCACTTGAGACAATTGGTGGAGGGGTTGGCTCATGCAACTCCCAGTTGTACTAGCATCTCCTCCAGATTTTTGGACCATTTCACACAGGAGCTAGATTGCCTTGGCTCAATTGATCTTACATTTGCTGTGGATGGCTTAGGTCACTGGATCCAACAATGAAGACAACCTCACCTTGATGGCCAAAATGAACTTGGTGGGACTGTTCAGTGGACATATTTGACAACAATGGGTTCACTGATAGCTTGATGATCAATCAAGATTTAAACTTGTAGGAACAATGGTGAGAATATCATTCACACTGTGGGAAGCAAAGTTGGACAATGGCAGATGTAGCCAAATTTTGGGTAACAGCAATACACAGGAGATGAGCAGCAATATCTCCCTACATAGATAGCTACTGGTCACTTCCACACAGCCAATACATACACCTGTCCCACTCAGCTCTCTGCTCAATTGTCCCACTCAACCCTCCTGCTTAACTATCCCTCTCCCTGATATCAAAGATGCCACAACCATCATGGTGTCATCCTTGTGCTTCATCTCAAAATACTCATTGCTAATGTTGTAGACACTGGCACACCAGCCTTCCATATCTGCTGACCTTGTGGCTCTGGCCACTCAGCAATGGATCCATGCCATCCAAATGCCATTTGCAATTCTCTCTGCTACACTTTCAATTATGCACCCTCCTTTGTACAATGCCAGTCACCAAGCCATGTGGAAGCTGACTGAGTGGTCTTCCATGAATGATCCTGAAATGTCAGCAGTCCTCTGACACTGGCCAATGGTTTACACCAACATCTCCATGATTGCTAACCAGTTGGCTCCCCTCCATTGTGACCTGCAATCCCATGCCAACTGGTATGACATGCTTGTTAGTGTCGGCAATTATTCTGAATGTGTTCTTGACATCCCCTCTCTTGGTCTTCAATTCAATTACTGGCCTGGCACTGTTGTAGCCTTTTCTGGCTGGCTTTTGCAGCATGGTGTGAATGATGTGAGCAGCGACCATTGCTCACTAGCATTTTACATGCAGGACAATATTCACAACTGGCTTGGAGTCCCTCAAAGTGATTGGATGCATGTTCCATTGGTGTGGCAGCTTCTCACAGGCATGTAATGCACCCATTGCACCCTGTATTGTATTGTATTGGTCCTTATTTAATGCCCTGGGAATCCAGTATTTGATCAGCATAATCCCAATTTGAATGAAATCTATGAAATCAATGCAATATTACTAGCCACCATTCTGTGATTGTATGAAGTATAGGTTATGATCTTATACTGGTGGTAAGATATGCAGTATACTGACAATTCATGCTATGCTTCATGTCCATATCTATAGTACCCTAGCTGTGTGCTGCCATATGCAGAACTATCTGTGCTGGATGCCATGCACTGACATGAATCCTACTCAATCCAGATGTGTGCTGTGGTATGTTGGGTCAATGCCATCAGCTGCTGAGAACTGCTGGTTTATTCTTCTGCATCTAACCATGTGCTGCTGTATGCAGAACCATCCATGCCACACATCAAACCTTGATGTGGATCCTAAGGCAGTCAGGTGTTTACCACTGTTTGCCATGCCCATGCCACCAACTGCCACCACATTGCTGGCATGTGCTGAGCAATATCTACTGGCTGCCACAACCCTCCAGAGACTCCTAGAGCAGGTGCCACCAGGTGCCATGGTACATGTTGCCACAACTTCACCATGAATTATGCTGCATGCTGCAATGTGCCATACTCAGTGTATGAAGAAGTCCCTGAAGTGGAAAAGAATGGTGCAGAAAATTTATAGTACCATAATTAGTAAGTGTAGTGTCATCGGAATTAAATTCCGAAGGTCAGGGAGAAACTCCGAGCCCTCTGGGTGAAACCCTAAGAGGCTACCATAATTCTGGAACACATTCTTGACACTCCCCCTCAATTGGAATGGAGTCTGAGTGCAGATGCAAAGTGTTTCACCTTGATGCTTGGTAAAGGTTTGGTAAGGGTATTGGCAACCATGTCATCAGTAGGACAATAAATTAAACAAAAGGAATGGTTTTCCACAGCAAAATGAATGAAATGGTATTGTATATCAATGTGCTTGGTGTGAGCATGGTAGCTGCCATCCTTGGTGAGTGTGATGGCAGATTGGCTGTTGGAATACAGTGGGATAGGATGTTTGAGTGGTTGGAAAACTTCCCCAATGAGTCATTGAAGCCACAAGCCCTCCTTGGCTGCATGAGTTGCTGTGATGTACTCTGCTTCTGCAGTCAAGAGCATGACAAGTTCTTGTTTCTGTGAAGCCCAACTGACAGCTCCACCATCTAGTAGGTAGGTGTATCTGCTCATAGCATGTTGATGCTCCTGTGAAGCTCCATCTGCATTGGTATAGCCCTTGAGGCCTTGTTCTGTATTTCTGAACATCAAAGCAAGTGCTTTTGTGCCTGAGATATACCTATAGATTCATTTCATGGCTTCCCAGTGAGTCATGTTGGGTGTGTTGTTGAACTGTGCAACTGTAGAGACAGCAAATGCAATGCAGGGTGTGTTCCAATGGCAAGGTGCATGAGGGAGCCAACAATGGCATGGTAGGGTATGTTTTTCATCCATGCAGCTTCTTCAGCTGGCTGCAGAATTTCTCCATGGGAGAGTCCTATGCTGGGGTCCATCGGAATTGTGGCTGGTTTGCAGTTGGTGAGGTTGTATTTCATTAGGATGGCCTTGATATATGACTGCTGTGATAGGGATATGGTGTGGGCATCTCTATTTTGCATCACCTTCATTCCAAGTAGCCAACTGATGGGCCCTAGGTTGGAGATTTTGAAATGAGTGCTGATTTCTTGTTTAAATGAGCAGACTAGCAGTGGGGAACTGCCTGTTATAGTGCACTCATCAATGTGGCTGGTGAGGATGAGAATTTCTGATCCTATGCGACTGTAGAATACTCTCTAGTCTGTGTGAGCCCTGGTGAGCCCAAGATCTGTGAGAGTAGCACATAGCTTCTGGTACCACTGAAGTGCACCTTGTTTTGAGCTGTATAATGCGACACTTAGCTTCCCTACTGGATAGGAAAAATTCCACCCTATAGTGTAGCCCTCAGGGAGCTCCATGTAGATGTCTTCACCATCTCCAAGTTTGCCATTGAGGAATGCCAAGTGGAAATCAAAGATGTCAATATCCCAGTCATTGCATGCAGCAATTGTGAGTATAGTGTGAAGAGATGCAAGTCTTGCAATGGGAGCATATGTTTCATCATAGTTGATGCCCTGTATCTGAGAGTAGCCCTTAGCAACTAGGTGGGCCTTGTACTTCTCGATCTCCCCAGTAGCATTGCATTTGATCTTGAAGACCCATTTGCATCCTATGACATTTGCACCTTTTGGGCACTCAACAATGTCCCAGGTGTGCACTTCCTCTAGGCTCTGTAATTCTGCATTTATGGCATTTTGCCACTTCAGCCAGTCAGCTCACCATTTTGCCTCATGTACTGTTGATGGGTCCAGCCCTTCAGCTTCAGCCATCCCTGCCACCATAGCATACACCATGTTGGTGTTGTCTTCATCAGCAGCTAGTTCATCATTGAACATGTAGGTAGCATTCTCTCAGGATTTTGGGCTGTTTGGGTTGCTATCACTCTCTCAGAGTTCTTTTACAAAGTTGAGAGGGATGTGTCCATCATGAGTGCCTTCCCCTGCACATAGGCACCTCATATAGTCTGATTCAAAGCACTGGCAAGTGGAATGATGAGGTTGAGGTGGAGGTGTTTTGAAATTCTCTCCAAGTGGGTCCAAAATGAGTCTCAGAATTTCTGAAGTTGCTTTGGTGGGTCACTTGACTGTCTGTGTGGCCTCAGAATTTCCTTGTGAGGTGTTGGAATTCCCCTGCTCCCCCTCAAGTGGCACACCATGTGGTACAGACACATCTTGGCACTTGAAGATGACACTTTGTTTGATTCCAATTGCTTGTGTGTCAGGCCAGTAGATGCAGTGGCCATTGCTCTCAGGGTCAAAACCTACCCAGTGTCCATCTTGGGCTCACATGTCTAGCTTGGAGCCAGAGGTATCATGAACCTTGACATGACATCCCCAGACTGGGATTTTTGAGAGGTTGGGTGGTCTGTTGTAGAGCATTTCATAGGGGGTCTTGGTGCCTAGACAACAAGTTGATGAGCAGTTTTTGAGCCAAGTCACATGCATGATGGCCTCCCCCCAGAGGTTCTTGGGTAGGCCACTGGCATGAATCATTGCATGTACACACTCAATGAGTGTTCTTTTGAGTCATTCTGCAACTCCCTTGTGTTTGGGGGTATTGTGGACAGTTATGCATCATCCTGTGCCTTGGGATTTCAGATATTCTGAAAATTCCACACTAAGATATTCTCCCCCTCAATCTGAGCAAAGTCATTTGACTTTGGTATTGAACTGCATATTCAGCCATGCTTCATAGGCCCTGTATGATGTGAAGGTCTTGGCTTTTGTCTTCTGGAGGTACAGCTTGGTCTAGCAGGTGTGGTCATCTGTGAACAACACATAGTATTGGCTGTGGCCAGGGGTTTAGACTGCAGAAGGTCCCCAGAGATCTGTGTGGACCTTGTCACCTAGGTGTTCATGGCAGGGTGGGTCATGCTCCTTCCCAATGGGCTTCTGAGTTGCTTTGGCATACTTGCATGAATTGCATGTACCCATGGTAGAATGTCCTTTATCCAGCTTAATTCCAGTGATTGTGCTGTCCTTCAGCATGTGCCAGATGGCTTCAGGAGTGATGTGGCCAAGCCTGATGTGTATCTCCTCCATGGTTAAGGATTCTGTGGCCTTAGCTAGGCCTGCAAAGGCACAATGAGGTTGTTTGAGACAGTAGAGGCCTTTTTGCATCAGAATTTCAGCTACTTTCTTTTTCTGAGTGTTGAAAATTTGACAATGCTTGTCTCAGAATAATGCAGCATACCCAGTGACATCAAGTTTGCTAATGGGAATGAGCATGATTCCCATCTTGGGGGCA